CATTGTAGGCACTCACATATGGCAACACTGTTTGTCAGTTATTCATTCTCTGTACATTCTTGGAATTTCAGTTTCAACTGAATTCCTAATTCTTAGTTTTAAGTTTAAGAAGCGTCACTCATTGTACGACGACAGCAAGAATACAAGTGTTCTTTAATAAATAATCTTTAATTTTATATAATKGTCGTGTTTCATTCGCCACAGTATTAACCATACAATTAGTTGTAGGTGCCCGTATTACGAGAGTGCTGCCGGTTAATTACTCAAAAACTCACGAGATTGCTGTGTGTTTAGTTTCCTTCGCCTCACTTTTCTTCAATAGAAAAAAGTTACGTTTATAATCTATGACTTTTTTTATCTGTTCTGTGATTGCGTCATCACATCATGTGATTAATTTCTTTGTTCGTTTTTGGACTAAGTGACTATTTATTAAACATACTGTGAACAACGAWATAAATACAGATTTTTATGTAGTGTTTGTTGCGGAATAATAACTAATTGAGAGTACCTAAGTAAAGCGCTACTTATTTTTATTTGATGCTATAATTTTCAGTGTGTTCTGTTATTTGTGATTATTAAATCTAACCATGTATAGTCATTTAAATTTACTTGTGCATATGAAKAATTACTAATGAGCGGTGAAATAACTAATAAGTAATATGTGGAATTCCCCATTGTTGGAAATGTTCATACTTTACTATTACATCATGTCCGTTCATCTATATATTATATTTTGAATACATAAAAAATAATAAAGCTCCCATCATTTTTTATTTAMATAAAGTACCGATTTTACTCGAATTTTATTTTAATCAACTTAAGTAATCATAATATAGTTTTTTCTCGTAAGTAGGTAAGACCGCCGGGTGAGGGATGAGATAATATTTGAAGCTAATGGGAATAAGAATTGATGCTAATTATTGCTAATAGGATTTTGAATATCACTCAAAGCTGGTATATAACTAGTTACTAAGTTTCATTGTTTATAAAGTGTAATGAGAAACTAATGTATTTTTCAGCATGTCGGGTAAAAGTAATATATGAATCATTTCATAAAAAGGACTTAGGATACACATGCTAATATTGTCAGGAGGAAGTAAAAACTAAGGGAAACACAWAAAACTTGCGTAATCATTTACTAACACGACATCCGACAATAAACACTGTAAGGCTCAAAAAGAAGAGTGAGAGTGAAAGTGATGGTGGTAGTAAATGTGATAATGCACGATAATGCATAAAAAAAAAATCAAAGTTCAATAAATCAAAATAACTATGGTTTTATAATTTAGGTTGTTGATAACATGATTTCAGACATCGTGCTAGTTCCAGATTTGCAAAATGCTGATAATACAGACACTGAAAGCGTGGCTTCTTCTGCTGCCACTCTATCAGTCTTAAAACAGCAAACATTGACATCTTGCTTAACAAATATAAAATCATAAGACTCGAAAATAGTAACTTTTATTAATTTTCAGATAATGGTGTTAAGAGTGGTCAAATAACAAATGAAATATTCTTCATGATAGCAAAGGATGATTTACCTCTCAGTACTGTGGAAAAAACAGGATTTCAATATTTAATGAAAGTAGTAGCACCGCTTTATAAAGGTCTAGCCAGAAAAACAATTACTCATATGATTGACGATAAATATGACATTATTTCGACACAACTGCTATTAAAAATACAAGAAGTAGAAGCATTATCTTTAACTGCAGATGTTTGGACTGACTCGCACAATAGTCAAAGCTACTTAGGCGTAACTGGTCATTGTGTATCGATGCCTTACTTTCCMACCTCGTATCTTTGAAAATTGCGGTTTTGAGATTTTAATATCAGATGATTGCTATTTCTCTGTTCCATAACTGCAACAACTTCCTATCTCAACAAGTTGTGTCTATCGTAATAAAATTAAGAATACAAAACTTGGTATCTCATGCAATCCTTGTTTCGTAACTGCGTATAACTCTTATCTCAATATACATGTACATTTAATTGAGTATTAATCGTTTTCTTATTCTCCAAAAATATCTTTTTATTTTCTTTTGCTACAGCATGAATACGTGTAGTTATGTATATTTACAGCTTAACGTATGGAGTCCCGTTATTCGTCGGCGACGCTAGAACGAAACTTCAAAAACAAAAATTTACCGTTTCCTTGTAGTACCTGTAGTGAAAAAAGTGTGAAGTGAATTTTAGTCATTGCACTGCAGTTGTTGATGTTATCTTTTTGCTTAGTGAATATTTATTTCAGAAGAGTTTACTTTTCATTATTAAAAAAAATGCCATACAAGGCATGTGTGAAAGAGTGTTAGTTTTAACTGAATTTAAATTCCACTTAACCTGCACTTAATATGAATGAGGCATCAGTAAATTGCAGCACTGCGTGCACTCGAAATGAGTCTGTGACTACCCGTCTTGGTACAAGTCCAAGAGATAGTTCACCTGTAGAAATTCTTGAAAAAACAATCGCCGTTCTTGATGCTGAAACCGRTAATTTTGAGATGAGATGATGAGAAAACAAGACATTTTCTCTCAGTAGGTTCTGATAACTCTGGCTTCTCCTCAGAATCCGACTTTTCGGCAAGTGAAAGCGTAAAGTACCATCCCAGCACTGAATCAGATCTATCTGAGAATGGATCTTCTTCAGTTTTGTTGAATGAATCCTCTGGTGTCATTAAAATAAAAAGAGCACGGAAAGGCCAGGGAGATAAGCCAAACTGGACTAGAAACTGCCAAAAACATAAGCGAATACGTGGTCGGGAATATTCATCGATTAAGAGGAGCAAAAAAGAGACTGGAGTAATGCAAATTAGAAAAGAAAGAACTGTGAAAGTTCGGTGCCGTTCGGAA